TGTTTCAAAGCGCGAGATCATTCACTCCCATGCCCTGTATTGTGTCCTATCCTCAGGATATTTCGATGTTGTCGAGAATAAAACAATTTCCATGCGCATTTGGAACCAAGTCGGCTCACATAGGGTGAAGGGAGGGAAGAGGTGAAGGGAAGGGTCGAGCTTTTTTAAGTCGGAAATATACGTGGAACGTGAGGTGAAAAGTAAGCACTGGCGACATCGCAGTTGCCATACTTCCTGAGTAATTCGTCTTCTCACGTGTCTCTTGTCACCCCCTGGCGATGGAGAAGAGTTATAAGCAATAGAACTTCTCTTTACTCCATGAAAAACAAATTATATAACATTAACAAATATGTCCATTCAACTGGAATAGTAACATTCCAACGAATTATAAAACGTTTGATGGATCACCTGACCGGAGTGACCGGCGTAAATTATTTCATCAACAATTCTCATCCTGTGTAACGGTACATTTTAAGGCTCAACAACCATATCGAATTCAGGAATGAATAATTTTACTTGGTTTATTTTTCCTTCAAACCGAGAATATTGATTTCTGTTACATGATCAGTGCAAATTATTAAAACAAGTTTCAGATTCAAACTTTCCTCTGTCCAAAGGAGATCATGAGAATTTGTGTAGTACTGGCAACCCATTAAAATGCTCTCGCGGTGAATGAAGCCGCTGTTGTCAAATAAAGTAAAAAATGTTGACACCTTCTTTGCTGATTCTATCTGATCATTACATTATTTACACGGTTAGCAGCTGTATGACCCTATAAGGTAGTAAAATTATTTGAAACTTTAGGATATGTAATGTTTTGTTGGTTCTCTCTTTATCACGTTATCCATGGATAGTCAGAGGTTTTCTTTTTAAAAACCAATAGCCAGCCAACCAATATAAATGACCAACAATGAACCGAAACTCATTGTTGGTCATTTTTACCTGGAAATGTATAATCATTTTTTTTTTCGTTAAAAAATAGTCGTGTTTTGAAAACAGAATGAAATGCAAAAAAAAAAAAAAACTGGCAAGCTGAAAGAAAGCAAGCCATTTACGATGACTCACTAACAGGCTCTCTGTTTTTTTTTAAATGTCAGTCTCTGCGATGTAAATATTCTGACATTATCCAAAGCGAGAGAGGAAAAAAAGTAAAATTATAAGGGAGGTATGGATGATTGTGAAGTATGTCAACCTTTTATCAGTTCGTCCTTTTGAATCCGTCATCAATTGAGGTGTCAAATTTGGTCTTGATTTCCTCATAAAATCGTTCTTTAAGCACGGTTATCATTGCACCGTTCATGTTTAGACAGACTAAAATGTCAATACCTCGTGAGCCTTTCATCCATTAGAGTTTTAGCAAAATAAACAGCAAGTTGAGCCTTTACCAAACCCGAGCCTTGAAATAGCATTCCATAAACCATCGAGTGAAAGTATCATTTACTCAGAAAAGTCAATTGATTGAGCGATTGGAGAAAGGAATTACATAAGAGTTGGATTGAATTTTAGGAATGGAGTTCTACGAATAATTTGGTGATTGGTCCTATCAAAATTGGGGACCAAATGATAACAACTCATGAAACGGTCTTTAGCACATAGTAGACTTCCCTAGAGTATCCATATCCATACTGATGATATTTTTTGATGATTACTGCTCCCAGAGGAGCAATATTCTCCTGTTCAATGAATTATAAATTGATTTACAGTATGACTTGTTAATGGAAAACTCGTAATGAATCAACACAATTTGGATATAAGGGAATTTTTTTTTTGCGTTTGTTTGAACAATTGCAAATCGGTTCATTGTTAAATGACGTGACCTCTGAATTAGTCTATCCTTGTAAAATACGTTACCCGCCAAAATTTGACGATTCCGTTCACAGTTCTGCCGTGCTAAGGAAAAACGCCGTACGAACTTTCGGTCGTTGCCAAATTTCCCCGAATAAAACATGTATTTTTGAAGGAAAGTTATGCATATTTTCCCTGGAAATTTTCAGATATTTTAGATTAAATCGTGAACAAAATGGACCGAAAATTTTGAGGAAAAATATTCTCAATTTTCTCTGTAAATTCGGTTTTTCTTGAAAGAAATAAGGCACCGTCTAAAGGCTCATGCGGCGTTTTTCCTTGGCACAGCAGAGTTATTCTCTCATCTTACCGTTCAATATAAAATCATATGAGTAACACGTAGCGCATAACACCTGAGGCGCGAAGCGCTTCGGGAGGGTAGATCGCCAAGCGGTCAGGGGACGTGCCCCCCTGGTTGACCATATTTTTTCCAAAATTACTAAGACTTATTTTGTTTCCATATTCTCATAAGTCTTGGATGTGTAATTTCAAATTGCACGAAAATTCGGGGGCGCCTGATAAGGAGCCACGCGGCAACAAGAAAGGTGGCTTGGCTTNGGGGGGGGGGGGGGGCAAGAGGGAAATCCGAGCCGCTTGATGGATGGGCCCGAGGAGATGGATGAATGTTGTGCATCACCGGTTAATAGTTGCGAGCATTTATTTGGCTGGGCATTTGACATTTCGTTCGTGTCGCCCTCCTCTAGCGCTGTTGACGATTCGCAGGTCGCCTTTCTATCGCGTTTAATAGAGAGAATTATTATTTATTTAATTATTTTTTTTTTGTGGCGGGGGGAGGTGGAGTTACCAAGCTATTTACCTCTTTCCGGAATGTACCGCGTTTGAATTTTAAAAAAATATATCCAACCCCTCAAGCACTACACAATGTACATAAAAACAAACAAATTAGGCTTCAGAATTTAAAATGTAAATCATGCCTCTAGGCTGCATTCTGTTAAATACAGTTCCAACTTGTATACATACCAATAAACAATCTGTTCTTTAAAAAAATAAAATAATAATAAAAAAAACCTCAAGCACCGAAAAAAGGGATGTTTTTTAAAATGGCAACATCAAACATAAGAATTGAGATTCAGGTTCAATACACATATCGACGGTGAAACTACCAAACCACGTATCTCGTTTGCGGTGTTTAAAAATCTACGCTCACATTTTATTTTTTTGAAGTAGACCAAATCAATATCATTCCTTGAAATTTTCACGGAATTTTCTCCGCACAAAGAGGAAAAATCACAGAAATTTTCAAGACTGGATGTTAAGTAGTTTCTCATTTAAAAAATAAAGTATGACAGGAAGTCTGCGACGTCGCAAACCGAGATACGTGGTTTGGTAGTTTCACCGTCGATATTTTCTCTCTTGATTTTAATTTTATAAAAGTAGCGAGTTTTGGTAAAGTTAAAGGAAAAGTAGTCAGAGGCATAAAAGGGACTCTTCTTCTCCTAGTCACCTTCCGGCCAAAGCATCACAAGCGCCATGCGACGTTTACGAATTTCCGCCGCCATTTCATTCATTTACAGGGAAGTTGTTGGTTGAATATGTTTGAAAATTTCACTAAATTTTATCGGCAGCACAAAGAAAATTCGGTTAAATTTTTGGACAGCTTTGTTGACAAATTTCTCTGTGAGGAAAATAAAATGGCTGCAGAAATTTTCAAACGTTGCATGGTGCTTGTGATAAGCCTCTTAATTTAAGCGGATTTCCTTTTGATTTAAGCAAAAATCTGATTGAATCAAGAGTATTTTTCCTTGTCAATGTTTCCAAGAGACTGGACTCCAGATCCAATGTGGTTTTTTTTCCAGTGTAAAATACGGTAACCAATCAGAAATGGATTCACATTGTCTTGACTCCCAGTATAAAAGGACTCTAGAAGCAACGATATGTGCCCCTATTAACGCCTTCCTGTGATTTTCATGTTTCAAAATCATGCGCTCCCGTGATTCAACCCCTGTTGCAGGGGCGCACGAGAAGGAGGGATCGGTGGAATTCCTCGCGGATGCGGGAGCCCGGCCGCGCGCGCGTTCGGCGGCGGTAACGAGCCCGCGCGATGCGAAACATCTTGGGAACACGAGTTCCCGGCGGCGGGGGACACTTAATGGCGATAGTTTCGGCGGAAGTTCCCGGAGTCGGGAAAAACGAGAAAAAAAGGAGCCGAGTTCCCGAGGAACTTTTCCTGTCGCTGTCAGCGAACTTGCTTACTCCTACTGTCACGCTTTTGTTCGCCTCCTCATACTTTTGCGCGCATCCTTGCCGGATAGTGCTCCGAATTGAGCACCTCCCCCCATTTACTCTCATGTAAAGTATACCTCAACCTGGCTACCTTGGCCGTGCAACACGTGAGATGCGCCGCGCCCGTTACTGCGAGGAAATTTGGAGCTCCGCCGTCGGGTTATTATTTTCTTCATTGACGGGTCGGAAGCCCATAGTCAAAACAGGTGTAAATTTTGTCAAATGCCTAGGAGGCAAATGAACTGCATTTTGCAATTTAGAACTATAAATTCTGGCCCGGTTTAAAAACAACGTATGTGCCATTAGTTTCCATATGCACATCAGTATTTTTTCAGATGATCCAGAATTTATAGTTCCAAATTGCAAAATGCAGTCCAAATGATTAAATGGATTGCATTTTGTAAAAAGGAACCAAGAGCATTCCAATGTTGCCAGGATTGTGCAACATACATTTTTTACGACAAAAGTACTGGAATAATGAAAAAAATCATATTTGCAAGGATAATTTTCCTCTTGAATTCATAGTATATTGAGAGTAAAGATAAAATTTGAATATATGATCAGTTAAGATTTGCAGTGTAAAGAAAGTTGCACAATCTTGGCGACATTGGAATGCTCCTGGTTTATTTTTGCAAAATGCAGTCCAAATTGATGTCGACTTTTTCTAGACGAAAGAACGCTGTAACGCTGCAAGCAAAATCCCCGATTTTCTTATTTTCTTGCGCTAATAGAATAATTTACTTGAACAATTTGGCAAAGCCTTCCTGAATATATGCTAATGAAATCATGGTTACTATATTAAACTCGAGGGAACACAATCTATTCATTTGTAATTATCTAATAGTGTAAGACAAAATCACGCTATCTTAGATGGGTAATATATTCTAATGTTTTATTCTCTCTGTTTCTAGGTAAGAGACGCTTCACCATTTTTCATCCAATCGTCAATGATCTTTCATCAGTGGTTTGGGTGAGTTATATATTGACTGAATTCCATTAAAAGACAAATAAGCAGTGTTTAATGAAAAAGAACCGAGTGAATTTAATTAGGAGCGGGAAAACCGAATTTTAAGTTTCAGATTTCCGTAAGCTAATAGTGAAGAACAAAACTGTAAGCCAAATTCTTCGATACTAAATACCTATTTTATGCAAACATTAAAATTTTTGGCGGGAGAGAATATGCTTCAATAGAAGCTCAAAGGTACCCTTAACTCATTTCATTTGATTTCCTCCCATATGACGCTGCTTAAATGTGAGTTATTGAGTTGAGAACACGATTATCTTCACCATCCTAATGCAATGGTTGGGATTTTACTTTAAAGCATTCGCATCTTTCAATAGCTCACTAATCGTAGCCAACTATTTTCCTCGGAAATTTGGCGTCGTAGCTCAAAATGATAATGTGTCAACAGCTGTGGGACAGGGTTGGAGTCCGAACCGCAAAATCACAACATCTGGGTTCAAAATAAGTGAAGTTGAACACCGGACGCTAAATCCAATATTAACAAATTTGCAACTTAATTCTTACTCCGACTTGAAACCTATTCCCCAATTCAAAATGGATTTTCGAGCTTCCTGCTTTTTATTTTTTTCAAGTTTTTTTTTTTGGAAACTTAGTAAAATCACCATCTCCCCTTTTTTCAAGCGAACAACTACATACATTAAAACCGATTTGTTCAAACTTATGACGCTCAGAAAAACCAGTTCCTTTATCATCGCATTTGCGTAGCGGCCAAGGGGCGTAGACCCCTAGGTTGACCTATGACGAGCCTAAAGTCTTCCAGTGTATACTTTATTTTTTGCTGGCATGGCTTTCCTCGAATTAAAAAATTAAAATAGCAATAACGAGAAATCATGAAACAAATAAGTACAAAAACAGTAACCTTAAACAAAAATAAAAACACAATTAATGTTTTAAAAAATTGTTCCAATGAAAAAGTCCGAAAAAAAAAATTAAACTTCTGTCAGAACCCAACCAAGAGCTTCAATCATCGACAATCGAGGTGTAGGGTTCTTGAGACGTCATTCTGAACGGAGCACAAAACGTTGCCCCTCCGACGTAAGGGCTTATCTTAATTTCCACGTGAGCCTTGTTTCACGTAAAAATCCATTCTTTCTAGGGTTCATGCGGGGATCCAGATAAGTCCTTCCGCCAGAGGCGCCACAAAAAGTGAGGTTACACCCCTCCGGTGGCGACTTCTGCATCGGTGCGCGCCTACGCCCAGTGGCGTGGCGTGGCGTGAATGATCGATTATCGATACCTCGCCATTTGAAGGTATGGTAAAGAATCGATTACTAAGATGTTTGCTGCGAATACCCTAATGATCGATCTTTTCTCATAGGTTTGAGTGGCGTATCGATCGATATATCGCAAAGCACGCCACGCCACTGCCTACGCCGTCATCCCCGATGCAGCGCACGCGGGAGAAACTTCAAGTGCCACGATTATTCAGTCGGGAACCCCTTCGGCCGAGGACGGGCTGGGCCTTCTCCTTCGCCTTCATGAACCGCGGCCGAGCCTTCACAAATAATTAACTCCGCCGTCGGAGCGAATAAAAATTGAATTCAAATCGACTTTTATGGCGTTTCCGCGAGTGATAAATTCCCTCAATTAAGTGATTATTAGGTCTCCCCTCGGGGAGCCTCGCCCCCCTCCCACCCCACTCACTCCTTCCCAGTGAATCACGAGATGACTCCCCCCC